CCACAGATGCATTGGGTCGTCTGTACACTTTACATCCAAATAACGCAGAACGCTTTTACCTGAGATTATTATTAATCAATGTTCGTGGACCAACATCTTTCCAAGAATTAAAAACAGTCAATGGCCATGTGCGTGCTACATTTCGCGAGGCTTTCCAGAAATTAAGTCTCTTAGAAAACGATGCTTATTGGGATATTTCACTCGCTGATGCTTCTAATACAGCTCAACCACCACAGATACGTACACTATTTTCCATCATACTAACTACATGTTTTCCGGCTAATCCAAAGGATCTTTGGGAAAAATATAAAGACTATATGAGTGAAGACATTTTACATCGCATGCGTAGAATAAATGCTAATCCCAACATTCAATTTACATCAAATATATACAATGAAGCATTGATTTTAATTGAGAATGTATGTTTGACAATAGCCAACAAATCACTGACAGAATTGGGAATGATTGCTCCAAATAGATCTGGTAATGACATTTTCGATCGTGATATACAACGAGAAACGCACTTCGATGTTAATGAATTACATGCATTTAATCGAATTTATCTGCCGAAACTGGTATTAGAACAACGAACAGCATATGACACAATTATAAATGCAATATCTAACAAGAGTTGTGGCTTATATTTCTTAGATGCACCTGGAGGTACTGGCAAAACTTTTCTTTTTTCAATTATTCTGGCAACTATAAGATCACAAAATAATATTGCACTTGCTATTGCATCATCTGGTATTGCAGCAACTCTTTTGGACGGTGGTCGAACAGCGCATTCAGCATTGAAATTGCCATTAAATGTGCAGGTAATTGAAACTCCAACATGTAATATTAGCAAACATTCTGAGATGGGAAAAGTACTAAGATCATGTCAGCTTATAATATGGGATGAATGCACTATGGTACACAAGAAATCATTGGAAGCACTCAATCGCACATTAAAAGATTTAAGAGGAAATGAGTAGCTCTTTGGTGGTGCACTCATTTTGCTAGCTGGTGATTTTAGACAAACTCTACCAGTTATACCCCGTTCAACACCAGCAGATGAATTGAATGCATGTCTCAAATCATCAGTGTTATGGCGGTATGTGGAGAAAATATCTTTAAAGACCAATATGCTTATTCAATTACAACAAGATGAATCTTCTGAACGATTTGAAAAACAATTGCTAGATATTGGGAATGGTAAAATGGAAATGGACTAATCCACACACTGTATTACATTACCAGAAATCAAATTTATTTGTTCTTGCACCAGATGAGAAAGCAAAAAATATTGTATATTTACAAGCACTACTAAGATAAAGTTCACCATCAATCATCAAATATACTTCATTTCATGATGTATTACTTAATACCACAAGTGAAGAAACATGTTTATTCTACCATCAACTATGTATATCTATGTTTTGTTATATTCAAGTGAACAACATATAAAAGTGAACAACATATAATATGCAGGGATAATTTTATTATTAATTTTCATTTTGATGTATTATATACATTTGATCATTAATCACAGCAACGTGTGAGCGGGTACAGCTAGTTGACTAATAAATGTTAAAGCTATAAATTTAAAATATTTTTTATTGAGGAAATAACATCCAACAGCCAAGGTTTTAAGGTGGACTAAATCTTCTTACACAATCAAAAAAACTGACGTGTATTGTAAAATTTACTACGTTATCAAAAAACATTTATTTTCATAGACAAACATATAATTCATTCCCCCCAAAACGTTAGTATTTAATCTAGGCATTAAAAAAAATAATTTGTACCCAGAGAAAACACTTTTCTTTAATTGAAAAGTGTAGACATGATGAGACCTAAAATATAATCACACACAAAATCCTTAAGATAATATTTATGATTTTCCTATCATTTTGAGGTGCAAAGTTTTACATACTGGCAATATTCGTCCCCTTTAAACCTTTTAGTTTTTCTTATTAAAAATTTTTATTCTTATTAAAATCTAGTACTGGAAATAAAATAATAAGTATAGTATAAATTTTTATACCTTCTCAGACGTCTTGAATCCATAACAAATGAGTGCAGAAAATAATATCTTTATGGAATGCCGGGAATGAGGCTATTAGAATATGCAAAAACTTCCGAACGTTTAATGAAAAAAAAGTAGTGAACGCAATTTTTCATCGAAAAAATCAACCTACTAATTGTATTTCGTTTAAAAAAAAAAAAAAAACAAGAGTTTTGAATTGAACATTTTATTCAAAATACACAAAAATCGAAGAAGAATAAAAACTCTCTGTTGATCGTTTTAGAGATTATCTAAATAAAAATAACTAGTTACATAATTTGTCAATATAATTTGGCTCAAAATATTTGAGAGAATTCTTCAGTAAAAAAAATTAACTATAATTACATTGTATTTATACTAAGCAATAACATGTTGCTATTTGTTACCGCTATTATGATCACCAAAAAATGTGTGCCTGTGCCAGTTGAGCTTTTAATATGAAATCGAAATTTTTACCTTAATCACTTTCTAATAATTGTTCGATAGTTAGTGAATTCCATTATTTTTCTTTCCTTTGAAAACGTTTATTTACAGTAAAAACTTTTGTGATATAATTGCACGCGAAACATTTTTTTCTCAACATCTAATATAATAAATGAATTGCGTGATTTGCAAAAACAAATTTTTCAACACAAAAATATCTGAAATTGTTCGCATGATGTTTAACTAATTGCAGAATCATTAAAATAAAAATTGGAATGCAAGGAATATGATATTAAAAATGAAAAGTAACCTATAATCGCTTTTAGTATTTTTGTTGCAATCCTTTTTGAAACTGGTACTTACTTATCCGAAGTTTGTTGCCAAGTTTCGACATCACCACACCAACAACGCATCAACAAAGTGACAGTAATACATCAGCCATTTATTTGTTTTAACTGCTTGCTGCATTGCGCTTAGACAATAAAAAGTAATAATTTTTTTAACGGATTTTTTAGAAAGAAAGTTGAGATTTTTTTTTTGTGGAAAATAAACAATATATTATGCCTTGTTTTAATTTGAGCAGTTTAGTATAAAGTATAAGACGTATAAAGTGACGCTTTATATATATATATATATATATATATATATGTAACATAAAAAGCTTCAATTACTCTTTTTATGTTAGTTCTTTTCTGAATATCCTTTTATTTTCTTTTATTTTTCAAAACGAAATGCTTTCTCACACTTTTAAATTCACATCCTTTCCTTAAATCTATTTTTGGCCCAAGTATGCATTTAATTAAAAGCAGGACATTTTTCTCTTTGCTCTCTGTGGGAAACGCTCAACCTATTTGATTAACCAATTACAATTACTAAGATTTCCCTAAATTCACACATTTTACTTTGCAAGATTTTCCCTAACATATAATGAAGAAACACAGCTTTTCGTACACACTTTTCATGACTGCTCTGTCGAATAATTAATAAATAAATTTTGTACCCTCCTTCCCTGCCTAAGACCTGTTTTAATCCTTCCACTCGGCAACGACTCGATGAGTATTAAGGATATCATCCAAAATATTTTGCTCATCTTCATTTTTTTTTTTCGTCACTATCATCGGAAGAAGCTACTGAAATTATCGGAAGTAGATGTTGATATTGAAATGAGATATTCAAGGAACTGAAAAGTAAGGAGATATGTGTTGCTGTCGATAGACGTGTCATCGACTTTTGAAGATTTTCAGCCACGCAATTTTATTCAGAGTTGCCGATGTTCCCGTCGAATACCAAGACACAATTTACGAATACCAAGACGTTTGATTAAAACCAATTGTAATGATTGACACTATCCAACACTGAAAATAATCAGACCCAAAGCATCCAGAACATTTATTTTTGCTTTAGAAGGATCTCGCAGGTTCAAGAAAACGAATTGTTAAGTGAATCGTTCTTTAAATGTTTGGACTGTTCAAAGATTTAATTGCTGAAGCTTGCTGGAATAAAATCCAACCTCAAATTTTTCAATTTAAGCTCCCATACTTTCTGTAACCACGCTGACAGTGCTTGCCCATCCCACTATGTTTCTGATATTGACTCAAGAGAGAATTGACTCGGAATTTTTCAAACTGGTTGACCTGAAATCCGGGACAATTTAACATTATCGATACAAGCAATTTTTATGGACCAGCAGAAAATGACGTAGGAAACGAGATAATGAACGAAACAGACAACGTAAAACTGAAGTTAAGTTCTCTCTATATATAGATATTCAGAGGCTTTTATTTCAAGTAAAAATATATTTTGGTATTTTTTAATTACAATATGCAGTCGCACAGTTACTGAAGAAAATTTGTTAGATAATCGGAATTTTTAAATCTTAAATATAAAATCCTAAATTAAAAAATTGTTAATTTTTCCATTCATATTTAAAAAATTTATCAGTAATTGATTTTGTAATTTAAAGAAATTTCATTGCTAAGTACCTGTTTCCCTTAGATCTAAGTAACTTCAAGTAAGTGCAAATTTCACGAATTATTGTTTAAAAGTGAGTCGTGTTTTGAAGACTTACCCATTAACGCAGAAAAAGACACAGGTGCTTTAATCTAGAATTTAGTAACCATAAATTATTAAAATGCTAAACATACAGTATTACTCTTACTTTGACCTATATCAATACAAAATAATTAAAGAAAAGTTCGAGAAATATACTTACCCATTAACGCAGAAAAAGACACCGGTGCTTTAATCTAGAATTTAGTAACCATAAATTATTAAAATGCTAAACATACAGTATTACTCTTACTTTGACCTAAATCAATACAAAATAATTAAAGAAAAGTTCGAGAAATATGTTTAGTAAAAATTATGCGTCAAAGGGATAAGATTAGCACTTCTCTGTTTATTTTCATGCAATTTAAAATCATTATTTGACATTTTATGCTGCCCCGCGTTCCTGCTTTTATTTTTCACCTCTGAGAAACACAGTATATTAAGAACTCGATCTGTTATTAGTTGATAATAAATATTCCGTCCATTTTTCTGGTTAACTTAATTAAATAGGTCCACAATTTGAGGGCCTTTGCTCTAATGGATTAAAAAAAATTATGTTTTTCGGATATAATATTCCATTAGTTTTATATCTGCACGATGATTGTATGGAGAAACCGTTATTATTTCCATAATTCTTCACTTTCATAAAATCAATAAATAAATAAATTTTAACGAAGCTAATAAATTATAACTGTTTAGTTTTCAGATTGAAGTCATTCTTGTCGTGATCTGAGATTTTATGACAGATGTCAAAAAGTTTCTGAACGTTTATGTGAATGTTTATGTGAATGTTTTCCTATACGGTATTGTTACGAGGGTAAAATACTAGAACCTCAGGATGTAAGTTCCAAAAAATTCCGTATCAAAAAATAAATTAATTGTAATTTTGAACCAATCCAGAAGAAAAGGAAGCTCCTGGATCCAGAGGTATGATTGGTAATGGAAACATGGAGGACTTTGTGACTCACCAGGTTTAACGACTCGACAGAGACGAATACACTCAAGGAAACATATATGTTCTGCTCAACTTCCCACGTTAAAGTCGTTCAAATTGATTTTATTTTTTATGCGGGGAACTTAACATTGCAGAATAATAAATAAAATATCATATGAAGATATCGACTACACCTTTAAACTATAAAAAAATGTTTGTCTAGGATTAAAACCAACTGAGATAAAGCATAATTGAAATTTCGAAAAATAATATAGACAGTAGCTCTCAAATCCGTTTTACATGTAAAATAAATTTTAAAAATAAATAAATTTTACAAATAATTCAACAAATCATAAATTAAACAAATCAGAAATTCAAAATCATTTCTATCATTTCAGAATTTGGTGATTAGGAAAGACGATTAATCTGCTATTGAGGTTAAGCGAAACATAATCTGAACAGGCTTGCCATTATTTAGCTTTTCATAGACATGTTTGGATTAGCAGAGGTTGGAGCATTAG